TCTTTAATGATCAAGTCTCTTGTATTTAGTAAGATGTTTTACTGCTCCTCGGTTTGGTCTAATACGTCGTCCTGTAATATTAAAAAATTACAATTAATTCAGAACTTTGCTTCTAGAATAATTACAGGAGCCGCTAAATTTGATCATGTAACACCATTACTTCACCAGTTAAACTGGCTCTCCGTCAAGCAGCAATTATATCTCAGAGACGCTGTAATGACTTATAAGTGCGTAAACAATCTTGCACCGAACTATCTTAGCTCCAATTTACAACAGAGAACTGCCATTCATTCGAGACGAACACGCAACAGAAATGATCTCGCCATCCCACTTTTTAGGACTGTCACAGGGCAGCGCTCTTTTTCGTACAGGTCTGTCAAGATCTGGAACTCTTTGGACTGTTCTCTAAAGACGTCTTCATCTGTTGCTGTATTCAAGCGGAAACTGAGGGATAGTCTCCTTAACAATGATGCGACAATTTGATAATGTAGTTAAAGAGTTTTAATTGAATTTATTGATCTATATGTAATTATCATTAGTAGTAGTTGTAGTTTTTAGATTATTATCATTATTGTAAATAGTTTCTTAAAAGCCTTTGTGAGGAGATGCTATTAAACATTATCATTATCAAAAACGTCGTAAGACGGTAGAGTTTTTTAGATATCGAAAGTACGTGCTGCCCATTCGAGCGCAACATAAATATTATATATTTTATTATTATTTATTCCTATGTATTCGGATTTTTTAAATTCAAAACTCGCTATGGCTCTCTACTGATACAAGAGTTGGGTGTTCCGTTTACTAGGTGTCTTATTTCAGTATCACATATCAGTTTCAAGTTGTGTAGCAAAATGGGTTAGAAGTGAGTCCGGGGAAGAGGGGGACTCTGGGGTAAAATTACCGGGGATGCTCGTCGGAAATTTTCAAAAATACTCCTAAAAGATCCTGGAAATCTTGAAAAAAGGATTTTTAACCTCTGCTTTTTAAATTGCCTATGACACCTGACAAAAAATTTTCTGATTTTATATAAAGTAAATAATTGAATGGTGAAATATTTCTGCATTTCAGTGTTGCGTCTGAGTTTTGAAGGTTTAATCTTCCAATATGCTAATGATAATGACGTCAAGGGAGGCTTCATTAAATATACGAACTTTGAAACAGTCACTCAAAAATGTTTTCATGAACGCCATCTGGTAATATGGTTATTCCCTACATTGCATACGATAAATTTAATGCCATGAAACCATTTTTAAGCGACTACTGCAAAATTCGTATATCTAATGAAGCCTTCTTTAACATCATTTTCATTAACATATTGTGAGATTGAACCTTCATAACTCAAAGACGCAACACTGAAATGTAGGAATATTTCACCATTCGATTATTATTTCTTATATAGAATCAGCTCACAAAGAATCAGAATATTTTTGTCAGGCGTCATAGGTACTTTAAGGTCGATCACAACTAATGAAATGCAAATTTTGAACTTTTTTAACTCGCTCGCTTCGAAAAAGTATTTAGTAAAACGTGCTAAAATTTTGATATAACATGCAGTGATTATTGCAGCTTTTGACAGTTTTCAGTATTTAGTAATTTATTGGCTGGTTTTAAATATACAGCGCATTTTCAAACAGTGATAATTCCAGTTTTCGACGATTTACTCTAAAACTAACAGTCGGATCATCATTTTTAGAATTTGTATATCTCATAAAACTACATAAGGGCTATGCATTTGGTTGGAAAAACTTAGGCAGAAATAAAGATATGAACGCGGCTCAAAAATGAGCCCAAAATATGACCTACATAGAATAAACAGCCGTATATAAATAAATATACATTCGATTGCCATGATCTTGCGATATGTTGTACATCAATTTCTAAATTATAAATCCGGTAACCAATCACATTGCGTTGTGTATTCCGAACGCTATGTCCTACCCATGATCCCTTTCGCTCATATTTTCAAGTCGTTGCTCGTTCTGCACAGTGTTTCATCGGCCGTTTTGATAAGTATTGTCTCAAATATG